TGAGGAGCTATTTTGAAAAGTATACGGAGCGCTTATTCGTTCATAACTGGAATATGAGATTCAGGCGTGGCAACCTTTACCACAAAACGACGATAATTTGCTGGAGTGAGTTCAACAAAGAACAACTTAAATCACGAATGTCCTCAAGACTTTATCATACCAACGTAGACTTGATAAACGTAACTGAACTGTCCCTTATGGACAGACAGGTCGGAGGAGTTCTTATACGACCCATCGGGTTATGAGAAATCGGGACTGTGTTATTGCTTCTGAACTACCTCAAAATTTGACCGAACTTATTCCATCTGCATATTCGTAGATGTCCGTTTTTGTGGCGAGTTTTCAGTGCCTGAAACGGACTTTCCGGGGCTGCAATAAGAGCAGACTCAATAGAGACATATAAACATAAATGAGATGTACATTTGCTTAAAAACTACTGCTTAACTGGGCATGACAGCTTTGTTACACCAAAACAATGTTTGCACACACCCATCGCTAACGGGGATGAATAATATTGTATGTGTAAAATTATCCAGTCGCGCGACTTTGGAATTCGGTTTGAAATTTTCGACCCCCGAGGGATCCACCTTTTTCTAGACTCCTGCCTAATCTACGCCCTGACGGCCAACTGCAATTAAGGAATCGATTCTGCCTACCAATGCCTCGATATTCACGGGACTAAAACAAGTCATTCGTCGGAAATACCTATCTCATTCCGATCGCGTCTTTGACAACAGCATCATGAGATTTCGCAAATCCAAGAACCGCCGAGTTCTTTGCTATCTACTTCATACAGTTAATCTGCCTTTAAAAAATTCCATAAATTTAGAAATGTTTCAAGCTTATTTACTTAATAATGGTAGTCGATCAAGTGTCCTCTAGATAGATAGATAGATAGATAGATAATTTTTATTAAAGACCCGTCGGGGTCCCATCAAAGCAAGTTAAAATAGATTTGCATGCGAGTTTTAGACGAGGTAGGCTGAATCTTTACAAAATGCAATTCATAGTTTCTGAATTAGAAGTCCATTGAGAAACATGAAGATTGAGGGGTAAAAAAAAACTCCCCGGAAAAAGTTAAAAATGATTGGATTAATTTTACAGGAGAAAAAACCCCTCTTTAAAAATAATAACAGAAAAAAAAGCGAGCAGGACTGGCCTGTAGGTGGCGGTATATAACGGAATGTTTTCGGTCATCGTCAGGGTATCAATAAATGTCCGTCTTGATGGGTACGAATGTGGGTCAGACAGGACTGGCTTGCAAATGGCATTGTATACGGGATTCACAATTGAGATCGTCTGGGCCGGATTGGTACGCCGCGTCAAAGAGGCCAGGCGAGAGGAACCGAGATGCGATCGGCCACAGCACGCTTCGAGCTCAGCCGAGCAGTGAGGAAGGGAGGTAAGACCGAACTACTAGAAGACAGTGAATACTGAGGGTTCCACCGTGAGCGTCGACAGACCGCATGAGGTCGGAATGC